AATGGGAATTGTTATTCCATCCCTAAAAATGGGAATTGTTATTCCATCCCTAAAAATGGGAATTGTTATTCCATCCCTATTGGGAATGAGGAGGGAGCCTGGAGCACCTCAGTGGGGCCCTGGCAGGAACTGCCCCGTTGGAATTCCACCCTTGGAATGTGGTGGCTGCCCCATCCCTGGGAGTGTCCCGGGCCGGGGGAAGGTGTCCCTGAGGGTGGCACTTGGGGGATTTAAGGTCCCTCCAACCCATCCTGGGATTCCTCTTCCTGCTGCTGGGTTGGCTCCTTCTTCCATCCCAGATCCCCCCAGTCCATCCCAGATCCCCCCAGTCCATCCCAGTGCTCCCACACGTCCCCTCTGTATTCCCGGGAAGCAGCTGGTTCCCTGTCCATCCCAGATCCCCTCTTGCCCATCCCAGATCCCCCCAGGTCCATCCCAGATCCCCTCTTGTCCATCCCAGATCCCCCCAGTCCATCCCAGTGCTCCCACATGTCCCCTCTGTATTCCCGGGAAGCAGCTGGTTCCCTGTCCATCCCAGATCCCCTCTGTCCATCCCAGATCCCCTCTGTCCATCCCAGATCCCTCCAGTCCATCCCAGATCCCCCCAGTCCATCCCAGATCCCTCCAGTCCATCCCAGATCCCCTCTTGTCCATCCCAGATCCCCCCAGTCCATCCCAGATCCCTCCAGTCCATCCCAGATCCCCCCCAGTCCATCCCAGATCCCCTCTTGTCCATCCCAGATCCCCCCAGTCCATCCCAGATCCCCCTGCCCACCCCAGACCCCCACTCTGTGCTCCCTCTGTATTCCCGGGAAGCAGCCTGTTCCCTGCCCCTGTTTCCCCCTCCATATTCCCGGGAATCAGCCAGTTCCCTGTCCATATTCCCCCTCCATATTCCCGGGAAGCAGCCAGTTCCCTGCCCACCATGTCCCCCCTCTCTATCCCAGGGAAGCAGCCTGTTCCCTGCCCACCCCAGGTCCCCCTCTGCCCATTCCAGGTGCCCCCTGCCCACCCCAGCCCGATCCCCTCGGTATTCCCGGGAAGCAACCAGTTCCCTGCCCATATTCCCCCTCCATATTCCCGGGAATCAGCCAGTTCCCTGCCCCTGTCTCCCCTCCATATTCCCGGGAATCAGCCAGTTCCCTGCCCATATTCCCCCCTCTGTATCCCAGGGAAGCAGCCGGTTCATTGCCCACCCCAGCCCCCCTCTGCCCATTCCAGGTGCCCCCTGCCCACCCCAGCCCGATCCCCTCGCTATTCCAGGGAAGCAGCTGGTTCACTACACGGCTCAGCCGCTCTTCCTGGTGGACTCGAGCGCCGTGGACGTGGCCGGGGGGGAGCTGCCCATCTTCTTCGAGCTGGGCGAGGGGCCCTTCTGCCCCGACGGGGCCGAGTACCCCGAGGAGCCCCCCGGCTCCCTCCTGGCCGGCACCGAGCCCCGCGCCAGGGACCCCGGCGTGTCCTAAGGCCGGCAGGGACAGGAGACCAGGAGGAGGAGGAGGAGGAGGAGGCACTGAAGGGAAGCTCCCGCTCGGCACAGACGCCGGAGCCGCGCCCGCTCCCGCCGGGAGGGTCGTTGTGTGTGTGCTTATGAGGTGTCCCCGACCCGCTTCAGCCCCCGCCACGGGCACGGGGGGCACCGGGACAGCCCCCCCCCCACGGTACCGGGACAGCCCCCCCACGGTACCGGGACAGCCCCCCCAACACTGGGATAGCCACCCTGGCACTGGGATAGCCCCCCTTGGCACCGGGATAGCCCCCCATGGTACCGGGATAGACCCCCTTGGCACCGGGATAGCCCACCCCTGGCACTGGGATAGACCCCCTTGGCACCGGGATAGCCCACCCCTGGCACTGGGATAGACCCCCTTGGCACCGGGACAGCCCCCCCCCACGGTACCGGGATAGCCCCCTACGGTACCGGGACAGCCCCGCTGGCACCGGGATAGCCCTCCTGGCACTGGGATAGCCCCCCCTGGCACCGGGATAGCCCCCCAACACTGGGGTAGCCCCCCCATGGCACCGGGACAACCCCCGTGGCACTGGGACAGCCCCTCTGGCACTGGGATAGCCCCCCCACGGTACCGGGGCAGCCCCCCCTGGCCCCGGGGTAGCCCCCCCCACCCCCAGGACAGCCCCCCCACGGTACCGGGACAGCCCCCCCAACACCGGGACAGCCCTCCTGGCACTGGGATAGCCCCCCTTGGCACCGGGATAGCCCCCCCAACACTGGGATAGCCCCCCCTGGCACCGGGCATGGGCGGGAATGGGGATCCGGGGGGACCAGGGGAGCAGAAGGGGGGTCTGCCCGGGAATGGGGTGCAGGATGGGGGTTCCTGTGCCCAGGGAAGGGGTCCCCCCTCGTCCCTGTGCCCCCCTTGCCCCCAGGAGCCGGAGCCGGGGGGGTTTAAAGGAAATAAACGTTTGCAGATGTGGCACCGGCGGGAGGGGCTGGGTGTGATCTCTGCCGGGACCCCACGGCACCCCAAACCCTCAGGGGACCCCAAACCCTGAGGGAATCCCAAAACCCCTGGGGATCCCAAACCCTGAGGGGACCCCAAACCCTGAGGGGACCCCAAAACCTCGTGGAGATCCCAAACCCTGAGGGGACCCCAAACCCTGTGGGGACCCCAAACCCTGAGGGAATCCCAAATCCTGAGGGGACCCCAAAACCCCTGGGGATCCCAAACCCCGAGGGGACCCCAGAACCCCGTGGGGACCCCAGAACCCCATGGAGATCCCAAACCCTGAGGGAATCCCAAACCCTGAGGGGACCCCAGAACCCCGTGGGGACCCCAAACCCTGAGGGGACCCCAAAACCCCGTGGGGACCCCGGAACCCCATGGGGATCCCAAACCCTGGGGGCACCCCACCCTAACCCAAAACCCTGAGGGGACCCTGAAACGCTGCAGGGATCCCAAAATGCCCCAGGACCCCAAAACACCACAGGGACTGCAAAACCCCACACGAGTCCCTGAAGCCCCACAGGACCCCAAAGTCCCACAGTGCCCCGAAGCCCAGCAGCACCCCAAAACCTCACAGGACCCCAAAACCCCAGGGGGCCCCAAAACCCCCCGGGCCCCTGAAACTCTGTGGGACCCCAAAGCCCCACAGCACCCGGACTCCCAGAGGTGTCCCCAAAACCTGGCAGGCAGCACCCCAGAGCCCCGTGGTGCCCTCAAACACGGTGCCACCCCAAAACCCCCTGGGTACCCTGGAGTTCTGCGGCACCCCAAAGCCCAGTGGGACCCCAAAGCCCAGCAGTGCCCCAAAACCCACCGGCATCCCAAAAAAATGGTGCCCCAACACCCCGGGGCACCCCAAAACCCATTGGCATCCCAAAAAAACCAGTGGTCCCCCAGGGCACCCCAAAACCCCCCCCCCGGTGCCCCCACACCCGCCCTGAGCTCCTCGTTTTCATTTCCCGCTCCGTGTGTTCCCGTTTTTCCCGTTGGCTCCTTTCCCCCCCCTTCCCCCGGCTCCGCAGTGGAATTTGTACATTGACCTTGGGATTGTGAATAGCAAAAAAAAAAAAACTGTATTTTGAATTTTTACATGAGAGAAGAACCCACTTCTGTCTATATATATATAAATATCTGGCTCTATACATACAAATATATATAAAACAACTGCTCTGGCACCTCCTGGCTGTTTCTCTGCTCCGAAGGCGATGGGGTCGGGCATCGTTTTTCGGGAAGCGGGTTGGGATCAAGGCCTGGGAGTTGCCCTTGGAGGTGGCTCCAGGCCCGGGAGCTGCCCTTGGATGCGTTTGTGCCGCGGGGGGGAGGATCCCAACACCCGGGCTGTGAGTCCCGGGGCTGTGAAATCCCTGCTGGAATCCCAGGAGGAGCCTCCCGGGATGCTCCGGAGGTGCCGGAGGGGGAGGGCGCGGAGCTCACCCAAGGGGCGCTCCGGGGTTTGGAGGAACAATAAATTGTCCTCGTTGTCACGTTTGGGAGGCTCCTCTGTCCCGCTCCGGGGTGGTGGCAGGTCCTGCTCCCGTCGGGATCCTGCTCCCGTCAGGATCCTGCTCTCATT